TTTTGTTGTGTTTTTTTTTTTTTTTTTTTTTTGATAGCCGTATATAGATATATGTGTATCGCATGCACGCACGCACACATACCACGGTACAGGCCTAAGTATTACCCCTCGAGGGTGCCTCAAAAGTTTAGTTTCCACTTTAAATCCCCTGTTTTCCATACCCTCGAGGGGTAATACTTACGCCTGCGACGTAGTACATACATATATATATCCCCCCAGCCAGCGCAAGCGACCCGTCCGTCCGTCTCCAGCCATCCATCATCCATCGCCCACAGTACGCACCGTATCCGAAGTCGGGTGAAGGTAGTACACAGCACATACAGGTATACCTACCTTTCTGTGAGTATACCAAGCCTCTTTATCTATCTATCTATCTATCTCTCTATCTATCTATCTATCTATCTCTCTTGGGGAAACATTTAAAGGGGTTTTAATCTAGTCGAGTCGAGTCGAGTAAGGATATATATACATACGTAGTATATAGGGTGTTTGGGTTCCGGGGTCGCGATTGGGAAGAGAGAGAGAGAGAGAGAGAGAGAGAGAATGAAGGAAGGAAGGGGGATGTTAATGTGGGTAGGGAAGGAAGGGGAAGGAGGATGGATGGGGGTGCGTTGCTTGGAGATTGGGGAGGCGAGGCGGGTAGGTTGGGAGAGGGGGGGAACGCGCATGATGTGTAGAGATCGGGAGGGGATGCTGTTTCTTCCTTGGGGGTTTTCATGGTTCGTGGTGAGTAGGTAAGGCATGGCTACTTAATGGCTCTGGGAAGTATTGCTGTGGTGGGCTTTCTATAAGGGCTGTTAGGCTTGCAGTATAGGTATATGTTGGGAGCGAAGCCGGGTTAGTTAGACACGGATTTATGTAGCTCGTTGAGTGGTGAGGAGTTGCTTGATTAGAGCCTTGTTGGCGAAGAGGTGCATTTGCAGGAGACGATGTCGTGATATCGATAGAACAGTTTTTTGTCTCCTTCGTGCATGACTTACGAGTTTAGCTCTTCATATCGTCCCACCTCGAATTCAGAACCGGGCCGTGAGGATTTCCTTGTAGTTATGGCGTCCGAGCCAGAATTTTTACAAATCCAACGCCTCTCACCACACGTACGTACTCCCATCCTCCCAACCCTCAACTCGCCCCATTCGTCTTATTTACCAGCTTCCCTTCGGTCTTCTCCACATACTCAACCAGATCCTCAATCGTGCAGACCTTCAGCCCCCACTTCTTCCCAAACGCCAAACACCCATCCCGCCTCATCATCTCCGGCTCCCTCCTCAGAGCCTGTCCCGCAACCTCCTCCCCATCCTCCACCAACTCGCAGATCACACCCACGGGCGCCTTCCCGGCCAACCTGCAGAACTCCACCGCCGCCTCCGTGTGTCCCGTTCGCTCCCTGATACCGCCCTCCCTCGCCCGCAGCGGAAACACATGGCCCGGCCGTCTGAAGCTCGCCTTGGTGGCCTCCTTGCTCGCCAGCGTCCTACACGTCAGCGCCCGGTTGTGGGCCGAGATCCCCGTCGTCGTTTCGGGGGACTCGGCGTCGATGGAAACGGTGTAGGCGGTGCGGTTCGGGTCCTCGTTCGCGGACACCATCTGCGGGAGGTCGAAATGCGTGGTCAGGGCCGGGGTCATGGGCGCGCAGATCAGGCCGGAGGTGTAGCGCACCATGAAGGCCATCTTCTCGGCGGTGACGTCCTCGGCGGCGATGATCAGGTCGCCTTCGTTCTCGCGGGAGAGGTCGTCGAGCACGACTATAAATTCGCCGTTTTCTGGGATGCGTTAGAAGAAGGGGAGCACGAGCCGGGAGAGGGGGATTTGGGCTTTGGGATGGCATTGGGGAGGGAGAGGCGGACTGTATGCGTGGATTGTGGATTCTATGCTGTCGAACTGCTGGGCGACGGCCGGGGAAGGCATTGCGACGGTGTTGCGGGTGGTGCGAGGCGAGGAGATGTTGTGAGATGTACCCCGCGGCTCGAATTTGCGCTCCGACGGTGGGTAGTGGGGCAGATAATTACAGTGCTGTTTCTTTTTAGAGCTATAAAGAAGACTTTCTATTTATTAGAGAAGAATAAAGCAGCAGGTCTGGTGAACAAGGAGCGTAGTTACGGTAAAGGCAGTATCCAATATATTCATGGAAAAGATGTGAGGAAAAAGACAAGGAGAGGAAGAGAAATGATTCAGCCGAAGAATAAATCAGATGCATGTAATACTTAAGTAATCATGCGAAGTACCATACAGCTTGGCAGGGACCTCGACCTAGGTAAATTAGTGCCGAGGCCTGGTATGGGAGCTCGAGTCCACGGCTACAATCACCATCCCCCCATTACCGACGAGGAGAACGGCCAGGGCATCCAATCGAGCAAGCAGCCGACTCATAGCGGCAATGGCTTTGCCCGCAGCTTCCTTTATGAAGCCGACCTCCCTCCGAAACCTGAACCTCCTCCTCCGCACCGCGCCCAGGTTCGTGCAGAACCAGTTCCGGCTTCACAGCACCACCTCCTCGTCGGTCAACCCGGAAGAAGTCTCGCACTTCAATGCCCTGGCGTCGACATGGTGGGATCCGCACGGCTCCTCGCGCCTCCTGCATCTCATGAACCCTCTGCGCCACGACTTCATCCGAAGCTGCCATGCCGTACAGCCGGATCCGCCGCCTCGAGACGGGATCAGGTATCTGGATATTGGGTGCGGAGGGGGGATATTCGCCGAGAGCGCTGCAAGGCTGGGGAGCACGCAGAGCGTGACGGCTATCGATCCAAGTCCTGAGGTGCTGGCTATCGCAAAGGGACACGCGAGGCAGGACCCTGGGTTGAAAGGGAAATTGACCTATCTCAATACCTCTATCGAGGAGCTGCCGCAGCCGGCGTCGGTGGAGGAGCAATACGATGTCATGTCGGTGTTTGAGGTCATTGAGCACATTACCTACCCGGCCGAGTTCCTGGATCTGTGCACCCCGTTTGTGAAGCCCGGAGGGTGGATCGTGATGAGTACGATTGCGCGGACGTGGACGAGCTGGGTAACCACGAAGCTTGTGGCGGAGGATCTAGCGAGGATAGTGCCGCGGGGGACGCATGATTGGGACAAGTACATTAATGAGGAGGAGCTGAGAGGTTACTTTTTGAAGGAGGGGGGCTGGAATAGCCCAATGGTTCTGGGGGTGGTGTATGTGCCTGGTGTTGGGTGGAAGGAGGTTCCTGGGGGGGAGAAATTGGGGAACTACTTCTTTGCAATTCGCAGGGACAAGTGAGGGTGGGAATGAGGTGTATTACGGGTTATCGAGAAGCTTCAAGCCGAGCTCGTGTAAGAGTTGGATGTAGAAATAACACCCGGCGGGCGATGAACTGGTGGCATGTGTACGATCAGGCGAAGCTCGAGGATCGAATTCCGTCCAAACCACGCTCTGACCCATCGACCGAATGTTTTGCAAGACCACTTCCAACTCACATAGCTCTTTACTGAACGCCAAAATTCTACTGGACATCTGCTCTAAGCCAGAATATAAGAACTCTGCATCACCCTTTGATTCGAAAGTCGTTTCGCTCGACAAGCCAGCCTTCACAGGGCTCTCTCGCCCGTCGGATCAGCATTCCACCGACAAAGCATTCCGATCAAGCTCAGCTTCACCCCCTTCCGAAACCAGAAAGCCGTAAATCTCTCTTTCGCAGGTTTGCTAGATAAGCGCCCTGGCTATTACTACCCGATCCGCTACTCGCTTGTACTATGATTCTCGCCTATCTGCACACGACCGCGCCGGTATGCCGGATCAGGTCCCCCGACGGAGGACATGGTCTCTTGCCTGCCTCTCCACCGTGGTCTGTGAGGAGGCGGATACGGCAGGTACCGGCCGCACTGTACTGTTCTTACCGGTAGTTAGAAACGGTACTGTGTGATCGTGCCCCCTGGTCGGAGTACGAGGCAGAGGACAAGGGGTTGCGGTTGCGGTTCCTAAGTACAGTAGGTACCGGTAGTAGTACTTACTCTTCAGCGATACGATCGAGTCAAGAATCCCGTGATCTCTCTTTCACGCGCGATTAGTTGGTCACGCCCGGATTGAATGCAATGCCGAAGCGAAGGATATGATCGCTGAGGCTGTAGCGCTCACAGAAGAGAAGCCTTGCGTTAGTGAAGCCGAGCACGGTTGCTGATACATTCATCGGTGTTCTTCGTCATTTCAAGGCGGGATTTGAAGGCTGAAAATCATATATGTTATATATATATGGAGAAAAAGGCTTGGATGATGCACTATCGTGTCTAGAAGAGGTCAGCTTGAGGAGGTATACTTCCTCTTTTGATATCTGTGAATTGTTTACGAAAAAAGGTTTTGTATGTATCTGCGCGCTGTAATGAATTGTATTGTATTGTGATGCGTTGCGCAATTACCTAACACGTCAAGATGGCAAGGCTTTCCCACCGATCGGTGCACTTTTCACCAAAAAGAAAAAAAAAATGAAAAAATGAAAAAAAGGGAAAGAATCTATCATAATCGATAAACTTATTACTACCCCAAGCTATCGAGAACGAACACCGACATCCATTCGAAAGCTTGCGACGAGGTATGAATGTTCAGCAAGCACCATATAATTCATCCACAGCTGCTTGCCTATCTACCGGTATCTATCCAGCCATCTCATCTCATCTACCAAGTACAAAAAAAGGCCCCGTCTGAACGGCGCGGCGCCGCCCAAGTTCGAACCCGGATGTAAACAAACGCGTTCCCAAAACCCTACCGAACCTGCAACGCCTTTTTCTTCTACAGCAGGTCCGACGGAAAGACAAGAAAAAAATTCACGTTTTTGTGATCGATTTCTATATCGAATGGCACCTGAGATGTACCTACCTACCTACCTATATGATGTAAGAGAATAAATAGGTGAAGAAGTGTGAGCGCGTCGCTGAAGGGTACTTACTACCTAGGTACTACTGTACTGTACTGTACTGTAGGAAACCGCAAACCCTTGCCTCTCTCTGACTTGTACCGGTGCTCCGGCCAGGGCTACGATGACCTTCCTGTACTTATACAGGAAAAGTACTTAGGCGTTCGTGCGTGCGTGCGTGCGTGCTTACTACAGTACGTACCTACCGGTATATCTAGCGTATCACCACAACGGCAACATCTCAGACCGCGGTACGGGATCGGGGTGATTGGCTAGCGCGCCCGTTTCGTCCGGTGGTGCGGTGCCGAGGGGGATCGTTTCTGCGGAGGAGAGAAAGAAGAAGGAAGGCCTTGCGTTGCGCGGGGAGAGTTTTGCGGCGTGGGGGCGATGGCGGTGGGAGGGAAGGAAGGAAGGAAGGAAGGGCTTTGTTGTAAGTAAGTAAGTAGCTACGATAGCTACTTACCGGTACCTACTTACTATCGGTATAGGTGGTATGTAGTAAGTACTGTAGTACAACTAGTACGTACAGTACCTACAGTACCGGTAGTACCTACCGGTAGGTACCATACACAAAGAGACTACACGTCCCCCCACGAATCATCCAGCACTGGTTTTCTGAATGGCTCAGAGCCCTGTCGAATCCACTGTATAGACTCAATACCGGGCTTCACATATACCGGTAGTAGTACTTTCTCAAGGCTGAATCCTTATACTGTACTGTACTACTGTACAGTACGTACCGGGGTTTTGATTGGGTGCGAGGCCCTGGTACGGTAAGGAGAGAGCCCTTGCGAAGCTATACTTTCCCACGTGTGGTCCAGGGGTGGGGGATGGTAGATGTACTGACCTAGAAGTACAACACTTGTACAACACTTGTACAACAACTACCGTACAACAACTACCGTGCAAAACCATACAACTACCGTACAAAACCATACGGCTGCCTACTGGAACCCGACCGGCTAATCCTGAAGCGGACGCACAAGCCGTGCGTGCACGGCTGTCGCGGGTTCGGGTCTTGGATTCGACGAGGGATACGCAGAGTTGCATCGCCAGAGACGCGGATGAGTTGGGGTTGGAAGGGTGAGAAGGGTGAGAAGGGTGAGGGCGAACCTGCGAGCGGGGTGGGGATCAGGCTCAGTGAGTGCGAGGTTATCACGGTATGTTTTCCTGGTATCTGGGTGGAAGTAAGTGCAAGGCAGACAGACAGGTGTGTACGGTGGATGTGGCTGGAGCCAAGGGATGGCGTTGATATAAGATGAACATATGTACAGGGAATACGCGAATATATAGGTATATACAATGATGATGCATTGAGCGGCTCGCTCGCTCGCTCGCTCGCTACGGAGCTCTAGGACATGTACGCCATGTCGACATACGACTCCTTCTCCCAGCCACTGCCCAAGACGTCCTCGATCGCAATAGGCGCCTGCAAGAACTGGCCGAACGGAGCGCGAGTACTCTTGTCGCCCGCCCCGGCCCCGGTGTTGCCGAACTCCGCCAGCGTCGACGAGGCCGTGTTGGGCGTCGCCTCGTTCCAGGCCCTCCAGCCTTCCGGGTCGACGACATCGCTGAGCTCGGTGTTCTGGAAGACCGTGTAGGAGAACTCCTTCCAGGGCCGGGCCAGGTGGGCGGTCCCCTTCTGGACGTTGGCGTCGCGGGCCGCGACGTTCGACTTGTTGATCACGAACTTCGAAGCCCCTTCCGTCGCGGCCCCGTTGGCTACGATGACGGCCTCTTCAAAGACTCGGATGTCGGCGCCTTCGAACCAGGCGAAGGCCCGCTGCCCGAAGATGAAGTCCACGACACCCTCGACATAGCACTTGGCGTAGAGCTGTTTGCCCTCGTTCGCCAGGATGGTGTCTTGGAAGCCCAAGAAGCTCATGCCATAGTAGCCTTGGTTGGTCTCCTGGGCGGAGATCGCCAGCGCTTGGCCGTTGGTCGGCGTGTGGCCGAACGTGTTCTCGAGGTTGATGTTGTAGAATTTGGTGTTGGTGGACCAGTTGCGGACCGTGGCGGTATCGTCGTTCTTCGCGACGGTGTTGCGGGACCGGTTCTGGCTGATGGTGACTTTGTTGCCCTTGTAAGAGCTGGTGTCGTCCGTCTGCCCTTGGACGACCAGCGGCCCCGCCAGAGGCTGAATGTAGACTTGCTCGGTGTAGTTGCCGGCCATGATGTAGAGGGTTTGCAGCTCGGTCGAGGTCTTCGATAAGGCATCGACTCCGGCCTGGACGGTCGGCAAAGACCCGGCCACGGAACCGCTCTGGTCGACGACGATAGCTCCCTGTGGAGGAGATGAGGCAGCTCTCGGGGTGAGCTTGCTAACTGGGGATGCGGTCACAAGGCCGATGAACAGTGCAAGCGAGAGGAAATGCATGATGGATGGAATGTGTGAGGAGAGAGCACGGTAGTCCTGTGATGAGTGATGAGTGATGAGTGAGAAGAGAGAGCTGAACGAAGATCGAATGAGGATGCAGAAATAGAAATGGCTAACGGAGCGGTGGACTTTATACGGATTTTCTCAACGGCCCACCACGCAATGGAATCATGGCCTTGGGCAGTTGTCAAGTTTCAAAAGTTAGAAATACTCAGAAGGGCACTTTTATTAAAACACTTTTATTAAAACAAGATTCAACCGAACTCCCGGATGCCTTGCACATTCCTCATGGAAGATGCCGCGGTGAGGCCTGACTTCCGTAATCTCACTGAAACGTGAAGGCTGCTCTTGTCTGGGACAGGGCCTATATGTACGGAATCTTCAAGCTCCTGAACGAAGATCCGATGAACGAGGCTTGATTCGAAGTCCTAGTCCTTACAGAACGTACGGAGAACAGGTCTGCTGGGGGGATGTACGAAGTCAGATCGATGCACTCCAGGGTTTCCAACGGTTGGAATGCAACGAGAATCCTTGAACAGCCTCGGGACACGGCCTTTGGTCCAGGGTGGACTAGCTTCTCCTGGGACGAACGGGTACTAGTGCTGCCGCGAGTACGAGGCGTACGAGAGGACCTTTTCGTGTTAGCGGTGCTGAAGCCGGGCTGGACTCTATTAAAATACCAAAATAAGCCTCTCCAAGAACGTCCTACCTGGCTCACCCGTAGCAGCGACGAAAAAAAAAAAAAAAAAAAAAAAAAAAAAAAAAAAAAAAAAAAATGTATGTCTACGAATCTACGCCGGACCGAACGAAACGAAATAAGCGAATGGTTCGCTGCGAGGAAGGGATAGGTGTAAAGCAGGAGGTTCCGTTTTGGAAGCGCCACACTCCAGAGACGCGGAATACCACGATGTGGGGGGAGTAAAGAGGAAGGGCGGCCCAGGGCGCGCGAAATATGAGTATACCTCTATACGTGACTGTAGAAAGTCAATACCCGCCAGATAGTCCGTACCCATGCGTTGATCTTTTTCAACCCGAGGAGGTACTTATTTAGGAAGATTTTCGGCATGGGTACCCCCCCCCCCCCTCCCCCCACCCCCAAAATAACCCCCTTTCTGGCCGCGCTATTAGGTCAACATGCATAACCATTACCAGATAGTTTTCAACCTCGGTTTGTGAGTCACTGGATTTAGCTTAAATATAGACGTCGCGCTCCAGCCAAGAGCCCAATAATAAAGTGGACGGTTATAGAAGATGGCGATCGCTGATCGCTCGAGATTCTGGCTTATAGTTATACGGGAGGCATCAAGGTACCGGTATCTCGAGGTGCGGATATTCTATCCGGCTGGGTTTGCCTTTTGCCTGGAGGCTAATTATGTGCCTTCCTTCACCCTTGACCTGGCAGTGCGGAAAGGTGTGCGGATATTGTACTACTCTCTTGCACTTGGGCGATAGTATATTTCTTGAAGTTGTTGGTTGGTGCCGCGGTGGCCTCCGGTCTAACGATATTCAGTTCCCCTTCTTCCTTTCTTCCCTTGGCCGTGATCTAATCTGATCTGATACGGTCGTTGCCGGCGTCATCATCATTTCTTCGCACGCAGAAGCAAGCCCCACTTTCTCTCACTTCAAAGCCAAGGCGGCGCTCTATAAGTATAGAGTCGGGCTAAGAGAAGTCGAAGTTTCGGAAGGAGAATATTTACGTACTCCGGCCGTACTGGAACACCATACTGCTACTGCTACTACGTAGTACATCTTTATTTCAGGTCAAGGTCAGGGCAAAAAGTCAACTTCGAACCCAGGGCAAGTTACGGAGCAGGCCGAATAGAGATCGAGATGACTTATACTTATGGGTACGAGGATGTGATGATCGTCGTCGTCTAAAATCGTCCACCTTCTTACTACTACTCTCTCCCCCCCCCCCATGAATAAATGTCGGACCCAGTTTAGGCCCATAAATCATAGAGCGGTGGTTTCTTGATGGCTTAAAGCTCTGTCGACTCCATTGTATAGACTAAATACTGGCTCAAAGATACCGGTACTACGTACGTACTTTTCAAAGCTGAATCCTTATAAGTTGATTGGTTTAAGCCCTGGTAAGATCCCGTGCGAAATTATACTCTCGACATTGATTCATGGGAGGGGGTACGTAGTACTATCCCCCATGAATAAAGTAAAAGGCAGCATCCCAAGGGTGGCACGAGCAAGAACACAGCAAAAGTCTACCTATCCGTGCCACCCTTAAATCCTGCCATGGACTGTGTTCACGGGGGGGAGATAGCCTCCGTAACTTCTTAGCCATGGCGCTGACTTCATATCCAGGATAACCGAATAAGTAGACTCGGCGCCGAAAGCTGCCTGATCCGATATAGCAGTCTATGGTTTCAGGAACGGTGTGGTCTTCTTGTTTGATTGCACAGATAAGAACCAAAGTATTGAGTAAGGTACCTAGCAGAGAGTAGGTAGGTACCGTATGCGTCAGCTCCCACCGTCAAGCGCGCCCTACCGCCCAACGACCGACCCACTGATCTACGTACAGCATACTGTAGGTCAATGCTTCGAACCTGGATCTACGCTGCTCCGATACGGGGATAAATATTAAAATAAAACCGCAGCTGATGTGCGAAACGACCGGCCGATCTCGGACCACTTCGCATTAATACTGTAAATAATTAAATCATGACCAGTTGTGGCACCCATGGCAAAGGTGATCAACTTCCTTCCCCGAGCAGTCTAGAGTATAGTTCTGCGGATGCGCAGGTGGATGGGTTCAAGGGATGTTGTCGCCGCTTTCACCTCTGCTCTGCGCAGCAGGATCGATGACAGGAGATTTCGTTAAGCAGAGCCGGTAAGTAGGTACTAACTTACCTTATGCATCTCCGTATAGCCGTATACGGAGTAATCAATTTTGG